GAAACCACCTATATAAATGATCCTAAATGTAGGTAAGTATGCCAGTACCATGGATGGTCTGGGATAGAGTCATTGTGTCACCCAGAAGCAATCTGTTCATGTACCCCATCCGGCGCTGTACGAACGCAATCGGGTCTGGCAATCGGGTCTGATACCGGTTTTGGTCACATCTCAGCTCCCCATCCGCTTCGTGTTCCACACTACATGGAACAGTCCAAACCGGACTCGTTCTCTGGGAGAGCCTAAGCTGCGAAGCTCCTGCGAAGCAGTCCAGGTCTGAGCGTAGCGCTCAGCAAGCCGGCGCTGTGGTTCGTGCCATGTTGGCGTGGAGGAACCAGGCCAAACAACACGGAAGACAGCCAAGGCCCAAGTAGACAGCCACCCCCATGGTGGAAGGTTCACACACAATCATCATCATTCCGGCGGCCCCGGCAGCCTCGAGTACGTTCACCAACGCCAAGACCAGAGTGCTGACAAATGTTCCGCAAAGCATACGCAAGACCTTGCCCTCGACGACCAAGGTCAGCAGGTGGTTGGCACGTAGTGCCACCGGAAATGTAAAAGCAGCAAAAACAAGTGGTACAATGACACAGTTTACCACAGCAGTAGTGAAGATATAGTGAGACACCGAGGAGTAGCCTTGAATGAGGGCACCAGAGCAATCTGAGTGACGATCACAGCTGAGAACCAGGAAAACTCCCAGGAGTACGAGCGGCAGATTGGATACCAGATGTCGATCTCACGACCTATCAAGCTCATGACTCTATCACGCAATGGGCCCCTCACATAGGCATTGAACTGGCCAATGACTTCTTCTTCCGTCGGGTAGCTGGTGACATGACGAACGTCTTGCAAAGATTGCTTCAAAACAAGGGGATCCAAAGAATCTGTGTCCGCCTCCGACACCTCTCCCGCATCAAGGGAGACTGACACGGGAGGTTCCAGTGCCTCATCAAAAAGATCTTGCACTAGCCTCTGAAGTACTACCCGATCCGTTTCCAAGGCGCACTGGGCATTTCTCAAATCAAAGGATTTCATCTGATCCAACATCTGCTTGTGACCATCAAGCTTCTGGAAGCTAAACCAAGCTGTTGGGATGCCCATCACCAAGTAGACTGCAGGAGGCTCAAGGTTACAATGGAACCTTGCAAACATTCAGAGAACAGAATCTGGACATATCTGGACAACAAAATCGCCCCAAAGAAAACTTTATAAGCGGAAAAGGTAAACATATGTATGTTAGTGGAAGTTGGTGGCATACTCCTAGGTCATGTGTGGTTTAATGTCAAAAACCTACTTTTGAAACCATGCAATCTCAAACATTTATGTGTGAACATAATTGTGTGTGCCAGGCCCATTCTTGTATGTTTTGACCTGATGAGATAGGAGCTGCGGCGTATAGGCTATTGCATGACATAGGATTATTTTTCCCACCATACCTTTACAACTCCTATCTCATTTCCCGGTAGTATAAACAAAAAGCACAACAAGGATGTCATACTCTGCAAATCCAGGCAACCAGGACTCAAAGACTGAACCTGGGGAAGGCCAAACAATCTGAGTTGTCAATGGCCCCCATGAGAAGCTGCCTATGGCCATAATAATGATGCACGACAAACTCCATACTGGCACCCAGTTCGGCACGAAGTCAACTACATCGGGTGACCTGGAAGTCTTGCAAAACACTGCCAGCTCCTGAACGGGGCAGCTCCAAAACAGAACTTCGGGAGCCAACAAGGACCAAAAAAGCCGCCAAAAAACAACCCCAAGAACCCGCCAAAAAACCACCCCAAGAACCAAATTTAAGGAACGAACAGGGGGTCAAAGACCGATTCAAAACTGACCCCATGCGAAGAAGCCAACATAATAATTTGTCGATCAAGGACTTTCTGTTCATTGGATGTTGCCAATCCATGTGATGTTTTTAATGGTATGTGCCAAAAAAAAGAGTACTCAATGGCCAAGCGTCGAAAACGCACCATAGTCTCTGAAAATAAGCATCATCCCACAAAACAAGCATCTCGCTTGAGTTGGCAACGAAGGCTGGGATTGCTCTTAGTATGGCAGCTTTCTCGAACACGTCTGCTTGATTGACACAAACACCGTCAAACCACAAAGTCTTCCGGCAGAACACATGTCCGAAGAAGTATGTCAGAAAAAATATGGCCATGGGCAA